TCGGTCACAACGCCTTGGTTGAGCATGCGGTAGAGCATCATGCGCGTGCGCGGGTCGAGCACCTGCTCGGACGTGGCGCGGTCATCGCGGCCCGTGTGCTTGATGCGGCCGCTCTCTTCGTTGCGGAGCGACTGCGCGAGCTGGTTGGACGCCGACTTCGAGAGCTTCCCTTCGTACTCCATCACGGCAAATTGCACTTTCCACCAACCAGTGTACACTTCCAATCACCCACGCGCCAATCAGCATCGAGATACTTTCAACATGCATATTTTAAAGGGGATTAAATATGAAAGGTAATTAACTCTCTCCCCATCGGCTGAGTGTGCAAGGCAGAAGCGTCGGCATGGCGTGGGTTTTAATGCTACGACGAACGCATTCGCACACCAGACGGACTTCTATACAGCGAGAGTGTTGGGCTACGGTTGTAGTGCGGCAGCGATTCAGCCCTACGTTCTCGCTCTGCAGATTCTCTTGTCAATTAAAGTCGGGTTGGAACATTCCGTCAAGCTACGTGTCGTGCCAGACCAAGCCCTGGTCACATCCTCAAAGAAACAAGGTATTAAGTGGAGCACCAACCCTCGATTGCTGCTCTCTAAATGTGCCCGCTCTCATTCGGCCATAAGAATTGAGAGGCTTAGTCCGCAATGGCGCTCAACATCAGCAAGGGTCCCTTGCTGAAAAGTTGCGACTCCACTTGGCTTGCTGTTTGCTGCTGCGAATGAACCTAGCTTGTTGTGTCTACTGGTACTGCAGTTAATAGCTCCTTGTCTCTAATGCAGCCATCCACAGGGTGCGATAAGCATCGAGGAGAGCGCGTCGTTCGATCCCATGGCGTCCTGCAACAATGTATCAAGAAGAGAAATGGGTGGCATCAAAACTGTTAATTGATACATAAATATTACGTAGTAGATACCAGCAGAACGATCGTGTCCAGCGTATACGGAGCGGTAGCTGCTAGCTGGAAAAAATCTTGCTTGCGGCACTGCATATAACGCTTGCGAACGGCTGTCTAGATGCGGAGGTACACCTGCGTCGACTGGAGCTGGCTCATAGGGACATCGAGAGCGGTATCGAGCATCCACGCGCCGAGCGACGAAGCCTCTTTCACTTGGTGCAGCGCGTTGTCGGTCGAGACCCACTGATCGTCCATGCATTCTGCCACCGGCGCCTCAATAGAGGGGGTGCCAAACTGCATCGGCGAGGTTGCATGGACGTCAAAGACATTGGGCGAGTTCATGGCAAGCTGGAAAATTGGAAAATGAGCCATCGCAACCAAATGCATCGCAACAATCAGCGCGAGCTGGAACACATCGCCTTCGTCCACGCCATCTCGATACACCGATACTTTGATGCTATCCAATTACCGATACAAATGGCAAGATTACAGGAATGCATCAATCTATCAGCCGCGTGTCGCTAAAGGAGCGCCGGTCGTCACACACTCCTCATGCCTTGGATGCGTCGAGGCGACGATAAAATCCTACACGAACAGTGGGAAATCAAGTGCACAAAAGTACTGGGTTCGCGTTCCCGCTTGCTTCTATGCATTCCCACTCTGCCCCTTGCTGCTGGAAGGCCCTGCGACACTTTGTATCAAGTGCAAGTTGGCCGTGTCCATGCAAATACTTGAGTGCGTGTCCAATGTCGGACATGCACTCTGGGTTGCTGCCTCGCGCCGAGACCTACCGCTGCACATCCTAAATGACAAAGCTAATAATCGTGCCCTCTACAAGCGCAGGAGCGAGCGCTACGGAAGCGTCGAGGTGCGCTGGAGCATGTTCGCGGCGCCAGCTTGGCTCAACGACACGGCTGATCAATAGTATCGTCGTCGGCCTGGAAGTAAATGCACTCCAAGAAAACAGTCCAGTGGATCGCTCGCTCGCTACCTGGTCCAACGGCAGTCTCGACGTGCTGGACCGAGCACATGGAATGTAAGGTCGATGTGGACAAAGACCACGTCGCATCGAACGCGCAGCCTGAATTCAAGCAGCTGGGCACACCCATGGGGGGTCCATCTACGGTACGTGCGCTCTTCGGTCGGAAGCGCCTGCGTGCAGTCGGCGAGACGGTCATCCACGGTAACTCATATCCATCTTATCATTGATGTAATATGCTGCAATAAATACAACCTTGCGCAGCGCTCAGTCGTCGTTGACGGTCGCCTTTGTGGCCTTTGGTCGATGCGACGTGGTGGCTGCCGTCGGCGACAGCGGCGCAGAGCTCGACACGCCCGTGTCGGTGGCGAGCTTCTGGCGG